CTTTTTCCTCCTTGTTAAGCTGGCTCGGACCGATGACTCCTCGCCGGGCTGTACAGTATTGCAATTTGCATCACAAGTTTGCTTGAAGTGGATTCTGGCATTGGCAAACTTTTGCAACGAGCCTTCTCCTGCACTGCAAGGAACTTATATCGGTAGCCGATTCTTTCTCGCTAGAATAGGCCATCGTCATCCAAAGCTTCCCCCCACCGCTAGAGAATGGTACCTACCAGGGGATGGACCAAAAGCAGCTGAAGACGGAGATGGGAATCCCAGGAGGAGAGAAAGTGTCTCTGACAGGTCCTTTGCAGGCCCAGTTCGGGTGGATATGAGGCCCGCGGACGCAAGGTGAATTGGGCCGGGATTTGATGGTCATGGGGGGAGGATGACCGGTTGATCTTTGTTGGTTTGATTGAATTGGTGAAATGACTTGTTTGAGTTGTAGAAATGCCCCGATGACATACCCGGTACCGACTCGGAGGTTTGAGAATACTACTAGGTATGTAGCAGGGCAACGTGACGGTAATAGTACTGCCAATTAGATGGACCTAAAAATAACATCGCTCAGCGAAGATCTCGCATTCGAACAGAAGAAATAAAAGAAAAGGAAGGGGAAAATCTCCAAGAAATCAACTTGCAAGGGCAAGGTACGCGTAGGGTCGTACCCCCCCATGTCCCCGTCCGTCCGCCTCGTCTCGTTTACGGGAGGGGGGTTTTCGTTCGTTCCCTTTCGGTTGTGAGGCCAGAGCTGTGTGCACACACCAGGTTCATGTGACCTCCGGGGGTTTGGATGGGGGGAGATGAATGGACGAAAAACGGGAGCAGCGAGAGGTGTGAGGCAATGAGATGATGAATTGCGCCGGGGAACACAGATTTTGCACCTCTCTCTCCTCCTCCTCTTCTCCTTCGTCCGAAGCAAAAAATGGAGATGGAATACGAGGTGTGCAGATTAAAAACGGCTGCGGCTGCACCGGGGATGGGAAGGACAAGCCTGGCCCTTTTTCCTGTGCCTTGGGTCACAGATGACGTTGATGCCGCAGGCCCCGTGGGGGAAGAATGTCACGTCTTGTCTGTATTCGTGCTTCGTACAGAAAGTGGTATCGTAAGTTGCGCGTTCAAGCGTTTGCATGCATGAAGTACTGACTGGGGGGAGATTAATTTTCATCTTCATTCGCCCTGCTGGTCGTTGCTCCTCTTCCCAAGAGAAACACTGCCTCCCCAAAGAAGTCCCGTATGTACCCGTAACGGTGATGGGGCCGTCAAGAGGAGCTCTCAAGCCCATCTCCGAGCGACGGGATCAGCGGTCGATCGTGTCGGTCCATTCCCCGGCAGGCATGGCATCTTGCTCGCCGTTGACCAAGAGGAGGGGGGTGGTGATTTGGATTTGCCCGGGTTCTGCATGACTTACATGTACGTCACGACATGGCCCGGCAAAAGCCTCTTGTTGCCGTGATTCGTCCCTCGTACCCGGTGTTGGTGCTGGTCCCCCTGCGGGCGGTAGCACTGCGTCGGCCTTCATCAGAAGGGCTTTCTGTTTGGGCCAGGATTTTTGATGCATGATTAACTTTGAGAGGGCATGCAGATGTACTGGGTTTTGTCGTACAGCTAGTACTCGCGTGCGCTTGTTCTTCACGGTACTGCAAAACAGACGGGCTGGGGGCGCGGACGGGTAGGATAGCCGTCGTCTGTCGTACAAGAACAGTGCAAGTGCCAGTCGGCGATGGCTCCCAGTGGTGATTGAACACAACGGGAGGCATTGACGTAGTATAGTAATAAGCAGTAGCTATTAAGTATTATGCCGTTTGAGGCGCTTCGTTATTGGATGTTAGTACGCAGGCAGACAGGTAGGGCTGCTCATTGGCGCGGCATCTGGGAAAGGGTCATTCTGCGGATTGTGGATGCTTATTCGATCAATTTGCAGGGCCCAACAATTTCCGAGGCAAAGGGCTGAAGGGCTGCCTCGTGGCTCGGCCACCGGAGCTCCATGGAGGGAGGGATGGGAAAGCTTCTTGTTCGACGCCTTGTCTGATTCGTGGGGTGGACCCGGAGGGAGCATCTCATCATCACAAGGGAGGCATCTTGTTGGTCCGTTGTTGATTGTCGTGGTATGTATGTATCACCTTGGCAGTACAAACGAAAGAAGCGTCATCTATCTATGGCCTGTATGTACGACCGGGTGCCCAAGGCTCTCCTCAACTGCACGTAAACCATCAGCATCGGGCCGCACCATTGCATCGCTACGGCGGTCAGCATTTTAGACCGAGCAGATGGATGGATGGGCTGTCGACTCCACGCACATGTCCTACGCTACCGTGCCTAGCATCGACCAGACTATCGGTCTGTCGGCGTTGTTGAAGCCTCGTGAGCGTTACCGCAAGCCGTACTTGTTGCTCAAGGTAAAGGAAACAGGTGCCGAGCCCTTTTGTGTCTTGCTCCTGTCTGCACGCTCGTGGGCACGCTCAAAAGTCGGCTGAGCGAGTGGTTGAAACAGGCGCCAACGCAGTCATTCAGCCGGCCGGTTAGTCCATGTAGTGATTTATTGAATTGCATGTTCTACTAGTAATATCATGTTGTCAGCGGTTAGCGGTCAGCGGACAGCAAGCTGCTGAGGCCGGGCAATGGCGTGAGCTCGACTGCCGGTGCTTGGATACACGTTTGTGCCGTTATGTATGGCGCCTGCGAGGTGGTGAGTTGCTGGACGAGATGAGGGAAGACACGTCTGTACACATGTGGTAGTGAACAGACACGTCGACACTTGATGTCGTCTGCTCCATAACCAGACAAGCGTCCCCGGGCGGGCAATGGATGGCCTTGAAAGGATACGGTAGTTGTACATACATGGTAGCAGCAGCGTTAGTCGCCGTTAGCATTGAGCCAAGCCGGAGCTGAGATGCTTTGGAGATGCTCCGCGTGGCCGCAATTTAGAGTTGGCGAAAAAAGGCACGCGAGCTTGATGAGGGCCAGGATCCATGGATCGAGTACCAGCGGTCGGAATAGCGGCAGGTGAGCTAAGGTTCGATACTTGGTGTGTAGTAGACAGACTGGTGACGGCTCAGGTTCCATGCCGCGAGATGATTGGAACAGGTCCAGTGCGAGTTTAGCAGCCCTGGCTGGGCGTTTCCACCGCACTGGAAATGCATCCGGCGTGGAGTGGAGATGTTTCTGTGGTGCATTTGCCAGCAGCATGAATCACAGTCAACACCGCTGAGGCATTACCTGCAATTCATGTCGTGATGCTAGAGGTACTATCCGTATAATATTGCCGAATATCAAGTATTCATGTCAATGCAAAGCGACAAACAAACAGTATTGTACCTTACCGATACCTCTCGCACAGGTCATACAGACACACAGACAGACAGACAGAAAGAGGAAGAGGGTAAATCGGAAAAAAACACCGCAAAGGGCTTCTCTTCTTCACACCCCTGACGTGGGGCTGCTCACTAGGGCCGTTGTCCAGCCTCCAGTTCCTGTCACCTACGTCATAATCATTTTTTCGCTCCCTAAGCGGTTCCGGGGGGCGACGGCTTGGGACATGGGGGGGATTCCGGTGCATCTTGGGTGGCCTGGCGGCACGCAGACCTTGAAGCCACCTCATGGCTCCCCAGAGCGAACCGCCAGTTCTGCGCGCCACCTTCAGCCGCGAGTATCTGCAGCGCTCCAGCTTGCGAATAGTCTTGAAGCCTACCTACTACCTTACCCACTGACGGATTGACTACTGTACGAGTATAGCGGACGACAGGCAGTGCTGCGGCGGACTCCATAGCAGCAACAGCGCGAGTGAATACAGCGCTCTTGCCACTGGACCTCACTGTGAGGGCTCCCCCTCTGCTCGGATCCAATCCTTCCAGGTTGGATTGCTTGCTGGAAACGACCCCCGTTTGTGGCCTGTCCGCTCCATCTCCCCACCCCTGCCGCACCACCGCCTGCGATAAACTCATCAGTGCTGCTTTTGCTCGCTGTGACGTGTGAGGAGAGGCCCTACCTTAACAGCCAGCCAGCCCGCCGACAGCCTACCGTCCTGTCCCATCCATTTCCAGACAGGGAACCGGAACCTGGAAGCACAACCGCCACCACCTCCACGCTTTTCCCGCACACATGCACTCGACCTCCAAATTCCAATCCTCTCCACACACAACCAGCTCGTCTTGCCCTCCATAGCCGCAAGCCGCCCAACAAAGAGCGGAACAGACGCGAGGCTGAGGACAAAGAGAGGACCGAAAAAGGGACAAACAAGGTCAGGAGATCCCACGCACAACATCGCGGAGGAGACAGACCAAGACTCGGAAACAGAAGGCGGACACGGACGCAGACCCGGGCCACAACCCAAGAGTCAGAAACACAAGAGAGACGGGACGCACGCACGCACGCACAGACGGGCCTGGGGGGAAAACCAGTAAGTATTGAAAAGCTGGAAAAAAGACAAAAGATACAGGAAATAAAGAGTCGAGACGCGGCAGACCAGATCGGCCGAAAAGACCGCCAGAGGACGGCCACAGAGAGCCAACGAGAGACCGCCGACGAGAGAGACCGCCGACGCCGAGAAGCCGCTCAACGCAACCCGGCTCGCCCCTCCCTCTGCCTCCGCCTCTGCTGCCCTCTCACCAGCCAGCCAGCCGCCGCTGTCGTCTCCGAGCCCTTTCGCTGTGCTTTGGATGCTACCGCCTTGTCCTGCGTATGCGGCATCCCACTTGCCGACCTGACCTGACGAGATCCACCGCCATCCCTCTTCGCACAGAAGAGGGCATGAGGCATGCCACGCCAGAGCTTCTCGGCCGAAAAGAGAGCCCTGTTCTCGCCCTCTCTGCCCATCCCGGCCTCGACCTCCTCCAGCACAACCACAACCACGACGGCCACGGCCACGGCCACCGCCGCGCCCTCGACTGAGACGCCCTCGCCCGCATCGACCGCCCCCTGGACGCGTCGCCTGGAGCTGCCCACCGGACCCTTTGCCCACTGGACCGTCGATGCTGCCGCTGCCGCTGCCACTCCCACCACCGACCCGACCCCCGCGAGAAATGGACGAGTGACCCCCGGCGCCTCGCAAGACCGGCATGCCAATGCTAAAGGCTCAATGGCAGCACGCCGCTCCAGCTACCCGCTCGCTTCGTCGAGCCCCTCAGCAGACTCGGTCCCCCACTCCAGGCCCTTGGCTTCGCGGCGTATAACCGATCTGAATGGCCGAGAAGATTCCGATGATGACTACCAGGACGAGCCCCAGGACTACGACGACGACTTCTATGCCGATATCGATGGCGATGCCGATTGGAAGGCCAATGCCCATGCCAGGCTCGGCGCCCAGGTCGACGGCATCACGGACGACGATGTCGACGACCCCCCTCATTCTTCGCCCACTGTTCCGTCTGGGTCCACAGTCAATGGTTCCACGCACAGTGAGACGCCAACGGCTGACGGACCAAAACTATCGCAGCAGCAGCTTGTTGAGTATCGGGAAAGGCTGATCCGCGATCTGGAACTGCGGGATCTCTCCGCTCAAGAGCTGCACTTGGGACTTCCCGACAAGACCCGCGTGGCGCCCATTCTCGAAGATGCCGTCCTCAACTCCCCCTATCCAACGTCCTCGGCCTTTACCAGCACGTCGACCGAGTCTGGAAACACAATCCGTGGTGGCATGACCCCGGCACCCATCGCCGGCACCCCCTCATATCCCTTCCCTCGAATGACGCTTCCGCCTGGGAGCTTTGGTCCATCGGGCTTTTCTCTCCCACCCGCCCAGGCTTCCGCCGCACCAGGTTTCTCCCGGTCGCCTCATGCAATGGCACTTGAACATCGCGGCGTCCTCGACAGAGTCCTGTCAGAGACGTCGACCCCGGCTTCGGCCATGACCTTCCAGCCGGGAGCCACTCCTCAGCCTGAAGGCTTTGACTTCCCCACCCCTAATCTGTATGACCTCTCGCTGATGCTGTCCGCCGAGCCTGGCCTCGATGCCTGGTGGGGTACCGTCGTCCAGATCATGCGGGAAGTGTATCAGGCCGAGCGTGTAACGCTGGCAGTTCCCGCCGACACTACCGACATTGAAAACGTGCCGTGGGGACAGAAGGCTACGTATAACGAGCACGAGCAGGATGACCTCAGCATGAACTACTTGGCCAAGGGCGGCACCAGCGCCCTGCAGAGCACGGTGAATGACGCTCTTGATGATGTGTTTGCCAGCCCTGCCGTAGGCACGCCCTTGGATGGGCCAAAGCGGCCTACATTCGCTAGCCGTCACTCCTTTACCGCCTTCGAAGAGAACAAGGACATCCCACCGGAAGGCATCACGATGGCGGCACCTCGTCGGCCCACCTACTTAACTAGAAGTCAAACACATTCTCCGTCCATTCAGACCGCGGCGGACCGGCAGGGAGAACCTCACGCCAAGCTCAACAAAAGCACCCTGGAGCAGCACGACATCATCGAGGAAGAGCAACAGCAGCAACAGCACATACCCAGCTGGGAAGCGTCCTTTGTGAATAAGAGCAACAGCCAGGGCAGAGTTCTGCCTGTTCTACAGGCTCTTGATTACGAAGCTGATCCCTTGATTGACAATACGGGCGTCATGAGAGTCCTGGAGCGCGGGCGGCCGGTGGCCTTGACGAGGAATTACCCCTACTTGGCGCCAGCCGCTCCGGCCGCACCCTCAACGGGGCCGGCGGGTGCCTTCAAGCCCGGCCCCAGGACGCCCGGCCAAGAGCTGCCGAGGAAGCCCAAGAACAAGAGGTCAGACTCTGCAACCAAGCTGTCGTCCATCTTTTCAGGCCCTACCGGTGCCCGTGCCTCTGTTAGATCCAAGGTTCACTTTGGCGACACCATACTGGACGACGACAGCCCAAGGCCGCCCACGCCGAAATACGAGGAGTATGAGCAAACCCCTCCGTCGCCTTGGTCGCAATCTCCGGCCCCGTCACCCGCGGTCAGGCCCGATCCGAAGGAAAACCCTTTCTTCGCAGATGCCACCGTCGACGAAGACTCCTTCAACCCGGATCCCACACCCACCGACTACGCCTCCATGCGGCCCCCGGAGGCTATTGGGGTCGACCACTCCTGGACGGTTCTACACATACCCCTTTCGCTCGCCGTGCCCTCTAAGCTGCAGCCCCACCCCTTCAAGCTTGATGCCACGGCGATGCATCAGAAGTCCCATTCGAGGAGCAGCCAGTCGCCAGAGAGCACTCACCATATCTCCATGGAGCCCGAGGTCCCAAAGAGAGACAAGCCGGCGCCGATTGCCATCTTGTCCATCCTCAGCCCCGTCATCCCGTACCCGTCCAACTTGCGGCACTCCCTGGAGCACCTGGCACCACATCTCGCCGCCACTTTCTCTCTGTGTCGACACTACACCAATCTCGAGACGGAACTGGCCGGTCTCAAGCGGAGAAGGCCATCTACGGCTGGATTTGGTGCGGTTACCGCATTCGGCCGGCCGATGGAAAGCGGCCCCTTTCTCGCCGCGGACGAGACGGCTGTCCTACAACAGTCGTTGGCCGGGAGCATCACCAGTCCAAGCGACTATTCGGGCATCTCCAAAAGCACCACTGGCTCCCCGACCGGCACCCCCGGATGGGACTCGGGGGCTCTCGTTTACCTCGCGGAGAGGCGGCAGCCTGCAGCGAGCCCGGCGGGCATCTCTCAGACTTCGGGTGGCTATTTTGGCAGCAAGCTTGCGAGACAGAGCTCGCAGCGGTCTCGAGCTGGTTCTAAAGACGACCCTCCTGGAGAAGTGCGGCCATCTCGCCTGGCTGGCAGCAAAACCCCCCAAACTCCGCAGGCTGCCGTGACAGACGCCGACGAGGTGGCGGATAGACATACGGGGAGCTCGGACGAACCCTCCAGCACAAAGGATGCTCCATCTCGGAATAGTCTCGAGGGAAGCATTGACCTTGACGCTGTATCGGCCGATAAATACCCCGAGCCTTCAAAGGTCGAGCAGGCTCCATCCAAGAAGGGCCACACGCTTCTTCACAGCTACGGCGCCGACTTTGCTTCCACGTTCCAATCATTGCCCCCCGGCGCCAGCCTGCCCAGCCGGCCGCTGACATCCAATGCAAACGTGCTGCAGAGGAGCAACTCGTTCATCGCCTCAGCCGCCGACATGCCACCACCGTCCGATAAGCTGAAAGGCCTCATACTCGACTCTCTACCGGCCCAGGTGTTCGTTGCGTTGCCGCAAACGGGTGAAATCGTGTGGGTCAACAGCCGTTACCTGTCCTACCGGGGACAGACGGTGGCAGACCTCTCCGCGGATCCATGGGGCAGCATCCACCCAGACGAGCGCGAGGATTATCTCAAGGCCTGGAGCCACTCGCTGCGGACCGGAGAGCAGTTCTCAAGCACTGTAAGGATCAAGAGATTTGATGGCGCCTACAGGTGGTTCTACGCCCGCGCCGTGGCTTCCAGGGACAAGCGGGGCGCCGTCGTGCAGTTTCTGGGCTCATACCTGGACATTCACGAGCAGCGCATAGCAGAAATCAAAGCCGCGCGCCAACAGGAGGTTGAGGCCTCGGAGGCAAAGCATCGCCTGCTAGCCAACCTGATCCCGCAGATTATCTTTACTGCCACAGAGGAGGACGGTGTGACGTTTGCAAACGAGCAATGGCTGTCCTACACTGGCCAGAGCTTTGAGGACTCACTGCGCCTGGGCTTCTTGGACTTCGTCCACCCAGAAGACTTGGCCAGATGCCGCATTCCTTCATCTGCTTCTTCACAGCCGACATCACCGCCCACCGCCTCGAGTCAAAAGGGCTCCGGCGACACCACAAGCACGCCCACAGGCGCAACAAGGGAGCGGCCGGCAGAGACCCCGGGCCGAGGACCACCACCATCAAGCAAGCAAGGCGCTGGCGGTGAAGCAGGCTACCACCTTGCGAATCCCGATATTGCAGAGCTTGCCAAAAAGGGCGTCATCAAGGTCGGCACCGACTCCAACGGCAGGCTATCGTACACGACGGAGGTCCGACTGCGTTCGAAGACGGGAGAGTATCGGTGGCATCTCGTTCGCTGTGTCGAGATTGACACCATAGACTTTGGCAGCGGCGCTAGTTCCTACTTTGGCTCTGCCACCGACATCAACGATCACAAGCTCCTTGAGGCGAAGTTGAAGGAAGCCATGGAATCAAAGGGCCGGTTCTTGAGCAACATGTCGCACGAGATCCGCACCCCTCTGATAGGCATATCGGGCATGGTGAGCTTCTTGCAGGATACCACGCTCAACGAAGAGCAGCGGGACTACACCAACACCATTCAGACGAGTGCCAACAGTCTCATCATGATCATCAACGACATCCTGGATCTCTCCAAAGTGGATGCAGGAATGATGAAGCTGAGATACGAATGGTTCCACACCCGCTCGCTTATCGAAGATGTCAACGAACTCGTGTCGACGATGGCCATCTCTAAACGACTCGAGCTCAACTACCTCGTAGATGCAGACGTCCCGGCGTGGGTAAAGGGAGACAGGGTTCGGATCCGCCAGGTCCTGTTGAACGTCATCGGAAACGCCATCAAGTTCACGTCGGAGGGCGAGGTGTTTAGTCAGTGCAAAGTGTACAGGGGTGACGACGCAGTGGTAGGGGAACACGAGATTATGCTCGAGTTCATCATCACCGACACTGGCCGTGGCTTCTCGGAGGAAGAAAAGGCTCTCATATTCAAGCCGTTCAGCCAGATTGACGAGAGCAGCACGAGACAGCATGGAGGCAGCGGGCTTGGCCTTGTCATCTCAAGGCAACTCGTCGAGCTCCACGGCGGCAAGATGGAAGGGAATGCGGTCATGGGCAAGGGCTCAACCTTTACCTTTACGGCTCGCTGCTCGCTACCGACGCTCGAAGATCGGCCTCCGATGCCTAACAGTCCGGGATCGACAGCAACGGCGGTGTCTCCAGTACCTGCCACGGCCGATGAGCGTGGCCATCATGCAACGCTTCCTGCGCTTCCGCCCACGGCTCCCCTAGCCCAGAATGCGCACGCTATGGACGAGACCGGCATCGTGGGTCCAGAATTCCTTACGCTGGGTGCTGATTCGACGGGCAGCTCGAGCCAGTCTCCTCACTCTGGCCAGTCGCTTGCCACGGACAGATCTTCCATCACGTCGATGAATACGGGCCTGGCTCGCTTCAGCGAGGCGGCCAAAGCCAGCGGTCAAGACCTTTCGCAGATGAAGCTCGAGATGCCATCCGACCGGAGTTCGACAACGCGGAGCGCAACGCCGGAGAAGAAGCTGCCGGCTGAAACGTTCCGCCCACCCATGTATCTGATACTCCTGATTTGCCCCCAGACGCACAGCCGCGAAGCTACCACGCAGCACATTGAGATGACGCTGCCGAAAGACGTGCCGCATCAGATCACCGCCGTCGCCAGCCTAGAGGAGGCTGAAGCTTACATTGGAGGCGAAGACCCCATCCGGTTCACTCACATCGTCATCAACCTCGGCGAGGCCGAGGCAGTCATCAGCGTCATGGACAAGATCACCAAGTCTCAGAAGATGGACAGCACCATGATCCTGATTCTCTCGGACTCGGTCCAGCGGCAGGAGGTGATGAAGTACTCGTCTGGCACCAAATACGAGAAGCTCTTCTCGGACAAGATGGTCAACTTCATCTACAAGCCGGTCAAGCCGTCTCGCTTCGCAGTCATCTTCGACCCGGATCGCCGACGGGATCTGAGTACCGACTGGAACAGGTCTACCGCGCAGCAAATGCTGGAGAGTCAGAAGGCTAGCTCCCTGGAGCTCCAGAAGCGCATGGGCAACAAGGGCTTCAGGGTCCTCCTGGTGGAAGACAATCCGGTCAACCAAAAGGTGATGACCAAGTTTTTGATGAAGGTCGCAGTCGACGTGGACATTGCCGTGGACGGAGCAGAGTGCGTCGAGAGAGTGTTTTCGAAACCGCACAACTATTACTCTCTCATTCTGGTGAGCAAAGATTATCTTCTTCATGTTCCGAAGGCGCTTGTTGGCTAACAGATGACGCAGTGCGACCTCCACATGCCTCGAAAAGATGGCTACCAAGCCTGCCGCGAGATTCGGGAATGGGAAATGCATTACAACTATCCGCAGATGCCCATTATTGCGCTTTCTGCTAACGTCATGTCAGACGTACAAGAGAAGTGCGCTGCGGCCGGATTCAGCGACTATGTGACGAAGCCTGTGGACTTTATCGATCTCAGCAGAGCCATGTCGCGGTTTTTCTGAAGCGGCTTGGCTGTCATTTACATCCTCGGGAGCGGGCAATCGCCTATAGAATAGTCCCCCTTGAGCGGACTAGGCCGGCTACCTCGCTCACTCTCCCTTTTTTCTTAACTCATCTTTTCATCAAGTTGACTTCTTCTTCGACGTTTCGCAGCCTAATGCTGAGGACGTGGTCCTTGGGTTGGCAGTTCTGGAAGGGTGTCTTCATTACTACCCTTTGTTACTTACTTTGATACCTTCAGCTCTTTCTTCTTTCTGTTCTTTTCTTCCTCTCGCTCTTCTTAATCAAGCCGAATAACCTAGGAGAGCCGAGCAGACTTGTGGCAGCATGTTCTACAGCGGGCGGAATCGAGCCTTGGAGGATTCTCTACATGGGGATTTGACCACTTGGGTCATTAATGCTATGGTTACTTGTGAGGAGGACAGACGGAGGGATTGTACTGCATGTTTCTTCTTCTTCTTTTGGCATTGTTCTTCTTTTATTTCTTCTTATCTGATGTGTGGACTTTTTCATGTCCATGCTGCTCTTTTTTTTCAGCGTCGGCATCAGATTGGCACATAAAGACAGGGGGAAAAAGTTCTACCTGAGTATCAGGTAGGGTAAGGTAGGGGGAGGGTCACAATTATTTGTTTTCAAGGGCCACGGCTGGGATTAAAGACTGGGCAAATGGGTTTAACATAAAGGAACTGGAATGGCACGGAGCTTCGCTGTTTTCTTTTCTTTCTTTCTTCCTTTCTTGTTTCTTCTCTCTGCTTTATTGCGAATGGGGAAGGGGGGAAGGGGGAGGAGGGCTTTGTATGCACAAATGTGTATGTATGGTTTGCGGTTTCTTTCTGGTGTGTTTATATTAGAGGAAAATCATACCTACTTTAAACCCCATTCGATCTCCTTGTCGCTACTGTTGTGTTGTTTCATGTTAGTCTTCTGTTAGACTTCACGATCATGGTGGTCTTCTGTTAGACTTCACAATCATGGTGGCAATGATATACAAAAAGTCCAGACCAAAACACTTCTTTTCCATTGATGAAAAAACCAGATATAATCCAATCTATATAGCTACTCCCCAGGTATCGATCGATCAAAAACTCAGAAATCATTGCTCATAATCAAGCCACGCTTTCGTGTGTGTGCAACGCTGATTCAAACCCGTGCGCAACGGATGACCCCCTTTTTTTCTTGATGTGTTAATAAATGCTCCCCATGACGCTCCTGTCCTCCCTCTCCACGTCGTCCAGGTCCTCGACGGCGCTGCAATCCGTGCCCGGCTCGTCGCCGAGGCGGTTCGCCAGCGCGGTGCCGGCCTTGATGCGCGAGTCGAGCGAGGCGGCGGCGACGACGCGCCGGCGGCGGGCGGCCTCGTCCTCGGAGGCCTCGGTGTCGCTGCCGGCGAGGGAGGCGTGGCCCGAGTAGGTGCCGCCGGCGTCGCGGCCGACGTGCATGTGGGTGGCTTTGATGTGGCGGATGCGGTCCTCGGCGGTGATGAAGGACGGGGTGCCGTCGGGGGAGGAGACGATGTCGTCAAAGGCGCGGGCGGCCTCGACGTTGACCCTCTTGTTGACGGCCTTGAGAGGGGGCTGCAGGCTGTCGTCGTCGTCGTCTTCGGAGCCGCCGCTGCTCGACACGTGACGCTGCTGTCTCCTGGCGGCGAGGGTGGAGGTACTGGAACTGCCGTTGTTGCCGTTGCCGCCACCGTTCTTGTTCTCCTGCTGCTGCTGCAGCGCGTGGTCCGAGTCCTGGTTATGGGGCCTGTAGGCGGCGGAGTGGTTGCAGCCGTTCGGACAGCCTCCCCACCTGCGGACGGCGACGAAGCTCTGCGTGTGCTGCAGCTTGAAGTCGTCCCTGCCGCCGTTGCCGTTGGCGTTCTTATCGGAGCCGGAGCCGGAGGCGTCGCCGCCGCCGCCGCCCTCCTTGTCCTTGTCCTTGAGGGCCTGCGCGCGCTCCCGCCGCAGCTCGGACCAGGTGCGCAGCTTGTTTTCGAGGTGGTACTTGCCGTTGACCTGCTTGCGCATGATGAGGAATTCGCAGTGGTTGATGTTTCGGAGGTCCTCGAAGTATTCGACGGAGAAGTGGTACCACTTCATGAGGAAGACGCGGGACATGAGGCCGTGGGTGACTTGCGCGCAGCGAAGAGTCAAACGTTAGAACGGGGGTTGGAGTCTTGTATAGATAGGGTTTGGGAGTGAGAGTGTCTTACCTAGGACGCAGACGCTGGGAAAGTCGTCGTCGCCAAACTGGCGCCACAGGCTCTCGTTGAAGCCGCTGATGCGGTCGTAGGCGTCGGCGGCGCTCTCGCCGTCGGGGATGCGGTAGAAGAAGTGGCCGTAGTCGGCCCTCTCCTGCCACATGCGCTCCATCTCGGTGCTGCAGGGCTGGAAGTTGCCAAAGTCCTGCTCGCGCAGGCGCGGCTCCTCGTAGACCTTGATGCTGGAGCGGCGGTAAGGCGAGGGCTCCGGGTCGTCGGACGTGAGGGTGGCGAGGATGCCCTCGGTGGTCTCGCGCGTGCGGCGGTAGGGCGAGGTGAAGAACTGGAGGGTGTCGTCGGGGCGGAGCAGCTTGCGCAGGCGGCGGCCGGCCTCGTGGGCCTGGGTCCAGCCTTCGGGGGTGAGCTTGACGCGGTGGTCGGGGATGGTCTGATGTATCTCGCGGTTCTCTGGGGGGAGAGGAGTGATGTTAGCTGGACTTGAGGAGAGACACGAGAGAGAGATAGAGGGAGACTGACTATTGCCCTCGGATTGGGCATGGCGAATGAGGATAATCAGCCGGGGCTTGGCCATGGCTGCGGGTGCGACTTGTTGGATGATGGCGAGGCTGAAGATGGGAGAACGAGGCTGAGTGAATTGATGAATCGATCGAGATGTTGGATAGTCGGAGTAGCGCAGCTGGTGGATGACGAGGGGCTGTAGAGTGAGGTAGTACTAGGTGAGGTTGGTAGGAGGAGGAGGAGGAGGAGGAGGAGGGATGGTGGTGTGGTTTGTAATGCTGGTGGGATGACAATTTTGACGCTCAAGTGTTTCGGGGGTTGTTAGTACTGGCGTCAAAACGGATAAGATAGAACATCAAACGCCCCCTGAGCCGAAACTGGACAAGGAGTTCAAATTCCAGGCAAGAAGATTAATAAGGACGAGGATTGGGATTGGTTTGACTGGATTTGGCTGCTTGATGCGAGAACATTGGAGGCGGCGGTTATGACATATACGGAGCGTGGGATTGGCTTAGGAGGCACTGTATGTGCTCTATCACGGACAAAGTACTGCTCCTCGCGGACAGGCTGAGGGGCAGGCAGCGTGTCGAGGTACCGGGACCTGCAGCGTGTTATGGCGCCAATTGGCCGCGAATCACATGGAAGCCATCAGGTAAGCGTGAATTGACATGGAATCAACTCAGGTTGAAAGTATTAGAAACAATGTTGAAATGGAATCATGACGATGTTCTTGATATTGAAGACGACCGTCTCTATTATCTAGAGCCAAAGGCTGGTCAGAGCTGGAAAGGCGGGGTCTCAGGGTCTCTTTTCTAGTGGTATCAGTATCAGTGCTTGCAAGGATGCTTGAGCTAACAATCTCGTCCATTCACCTTGACTCAACTCGGGGGATATACTAAGACACAACAGACGCCTCTGAAGCAACAAGATCAACGGGTTATGATCAGTCTAACATGGTGATCTACAACATGTGAGAAAGCTGAAGAAGCTGCTATTTCGAACCGCAGTGGAAGTGCAGGTTTTCTCCATGCTGGGGAAACATTGCAAGGCAGAAGATGCACGAGCTGTGTTTTGATTGACATGAGTTGACTCCCCCCAGTAGACCGGAGCAGTAAGTGCCGCCGAGCCAGCCTGGAGAGGGGAGCATCATGGGCCGTTTATAGTTGCTGTAAGACTCTCTCACAGATGCGTCAGAGCCACTGAGTCGGCCAGAGGAGCGTGCATGGGCTGTTTCTTCATTCTTTTTGTCCTTCCCTTTGGTGGTTCTGTACTAGGTATGTACCTACAAGTATAAGACAGCTGAGTGTGAGTACGTCTGTTGTTACGCTTGACGTAGGACAGACACTGCAGGGCCCGTTCAGGCAATGCACGTCACGCCTGTATGTAAGTACATATGTAGCAACACGACACAACCTGCATCAAAACTGCCTGCAACCACTGCGGAACCCATCCGATTCCCTCATCCAGCCTTGGCGATGCCCTCACTTTCAACCCCCTTGTCTATTCTCCATCCTCCAGTCCCTGGTTCATCACTAACTATCATCCACGTGCTCCTCCAACGCATGCAAATCCTCAAAACACCCCTCCATAAAACGATCGGGATCTCGGCCAGCCTAGCGGCCCATCTGGGAAGCCAAAGCGGCAATCCGGCAACGGCAAGACTTGTTCCAGCTGGCCTGCCACAGCCACTCACACTCAGTTTCAAGGCAAGGCTGGGCCTTTTCCGCTGACGGGAAATCCTGCCAAGCAAGTTTTCTTGAAGGGTGGGAGGGATGCCGCCACGGCCGGGGGCTTTGCATGACGTTGCATGACCCCACACGGCGTTTTGATGCTGGAAGAAGAGCTGGAGAGGGCTTTGGTGATGGCCATTGCAGCTGGGGGACTTACATGCTTCGGCTTGGCTTTGCCGTGAAGGACCTTGGTTACTCTGTGGACGACGATGCCGTCTATCCCGTTCTATCTGCCTTTTCTTCTGCTTTCAATCTCAATATAAATCTTGTGTAACATATGAGCACGCTGTTGATAACGTCTGTAAATACTCTATACTCGCCATACCACTCGCTCGCCCATCTTATATATCCCATCACTGAGAATGGTGTCCGACCACGTCCTCCGGCTCTGCCAGTCCCCCAACACCGTCAGCTCCCTGCTCGCCAAGAACCCGTCCCAGAGCCCCGGCCAGATCGCAAAGGACCTCTACGGCATCTACGAAAAGGACCTCCACCGCCGTCCGCCGTCCCCTCCCTCCTCCTCCGCCTCTGCCTCTGCCTCTGCCTCTGCCTCCTCCCGCTCCTCCTCCGACCAGAACACCACCACCAACAACAACAACAACAACAACAACAACAACGATACTGCAAATAATGGCCGGCCGTCTCCGGCAACAACAACAACAACAACAACCCGCCAGACGCGGGACCTGGACCTCGCCTACAAGTGCGGCCGCTGGGGTCCCACGACGCCGAGCCCGCTGTTCCTCCAGGCCTTCGCCGACGCCCTGCGGTGCCTCGACGCGGACCCCCTGGCCGGCGTCGTGTCGCCGCCGCTCATGGGCACCCACGGGACGGTGCCCCTGACGGTGATTGCGCCGCTGGTGGACGTCATCCGGCACGTCTCCAACGTGATTGCGCGGGCCGAGAAGGAGGTCTTCTTCATCACCTGCACGTGGTCGCCGTCCGTGGCGCAGCGGCTCGTGCGCAACGCCCTCGTCGAGCTGTCGCGCCCGCAGCTGCACAGCTACATGCCGCAGTAGAGCACCGGCAGCCCCTACAGCCCGGGGCAGCCGCGCTGCCCGAGGAACTCCCGCATCAACTCGACCGCCAACCGCCGGACGTCGGCGCAGAGCAGCCCGAACCAGCTCATCGTGTGGACGTAGGCGCACTAGAGGGGCCGGTCCAGCAGCAGCATCACGCCTAGGAGCCCGCACACGAGGGCCTCGAGGCGCACGCGGACCGGCAACCGGCGCTACGCGACGACCAGAGAGGGACGCGGGGCTAGCTCTATGTCGCCGAGCACGCAGCGGCAGCCGTCGGGCGGGAGCCGCCGCCCCTTAAGCATGCTGCCGTTCCCCCCGAGCTCCCTCGCGAAGGTCCACTACTCCCGGCACAGCATCTACGACAGCTGTTACCCCGGGAGCTCCACGCAGTAGTAGAGGTACAACGTCAACAGGAGGTACAACAACGAGTACTGCTCGCGCTAGAACGCCAGCTGCTGCGTCTTGAAACGCACGTCGCACGGCTCCTGGTCGAACACGTCCGACTGCTGGAGGTACAGCTCTACCCCGTGGAGCAGGCCCGACCCGTCGACCTGTCGGAACGGCCGCATCCGCCGGCCCCTCTGCGCGACTACCCCCAGCTGCCGCGACCGCCCGCAGCGGAACAGCATGTACTAGAACTGCTGCTGGGAGACCGCTGCCGCCGGGCGCGCG